CTCTCTGGTAGTGCAAACGGCAGGATTGATTTGGGTAATTCGACACTTCACTAAACGAATAACTACCTGCGCCGTACCAGCAGCCATCGACCTCGCTCTCGCCTGTGTGGTCCATACTGCTGACACCAGCAACTGGGCATACCAGCACCCGGGGGTGATTAGACAGATGATAGTGTCAGTGGCCGCGCTGGTCATGTTATGCCTACATCTCGCCACAGCAGCCCCGATGGCCCCCATTCTGGCGATCAGTATCCCCACTATAGATAAAGGGCTAAATCTCATACCGGAGCTGAGGGGACATGCACGCTGGCTGATAAACATCTGCCTGATAGTCGGCCTGGCGATACCGCAGAACATGCTGGTGGGCGCCGCTATGACCCTCGTCGTTACACCGATTACGATTACCAGTTGGAATGGAGACTCCGCCCCTGAGATAATGAGGCGCCCTGAACAAGCGGACAGCACCCACTGTGCGGGCCCACCAGAAGAAACCACACAAACCGAGCTACCCTGCCCCCACGCCAGCACGCCAACATGGCTGCTAACAGGACCTGGGACCCCACCAAAACAAGTGACGTGGCCAATAACGACAAACCCGCACAACTCAGACGGCTCTCTATATCACGAGCAACAACAGAAAGAGCTCTGCATGATCCACGCCATAAACAACCTACTAGGGGGACCGTACATCAACCCACAACATGTACTGCAGTACTGCCGTGCAATGCTACAGCACATGGCCGACCGGGGACTCCACAATGCAGCCGCCACGTGGCGACTAACCCACAACCAAAACACCGGCAACTTCTCAACACTGGCAATCAATCCGTACCTCCGCTACAACGTGCCGGTTCGAACTGCACAGCAAAGAAATGACCCCGCACACCCGCATGTCGCCTCCATAGGGAGTGGACAGGAAATAAAACCCAACGCGACGTTAAGCAGTGTACTACATCAGCTGCCAGAACACGCACGCAACTGGGGCTTCATCGTACACCTCACAGGCCACGCAATCGCAGTACGAAAGCACAAGGATCGGTGGTACATTCATGACTCTCTGCAACCGAAACCTGTGGAACTCGGTGACGAAAACGCCACGTGGCCACGTGAAACCGGCGCAATATACACCCTAAACCTCCGGCACCACACAGAACCCACGGCAACCCACGTGGACCTGAGAGACATAACCCCCCCGGACACCTGGATGCGCACAGCTCACACCGAGAACACGGAGATCCAAACAACACCCAACGGGACCACGTGCACAACAACGAGGGCACCACAAGGCCAAAAGCGGCGGAAGATCAAACACCTGCGTGCAGTGCAACTAACCCACCAAACGACGAGAACACTAACTGAGCCACCAGGAACGTGGATACCACCGCAGCCGACTGCACACGACAATGACCACCGACCAGCATCCAATCTGATAGTCGCGCCTCTCCCACCCCCCTTAGAGGAAGACTCGCGTGAACGCCCCCACCAAAAACGACATACCGGGCACACTGGAATTACCCTCCCGCGGCCACGCGACACCACAACTGGTGCCCCGCGAACCACGGGAACCAGGGTACGAGCCAAGCCGCCGCGTACCCTACCCACGGACGCGCAATGCAACAGACCCAAACCGCCGACGATCATGGACCACCTCCGGCGGTGGGCCAACAAACGCACAAACCCAGCCGGAGCTGACCACCCCGGGAAAACGATACACACAACAAGGGAAAATGGGAACGCCAGTGAACCCAACGTCAAACGCCCAAGACTGTCGACCACTCCCGTAAACAACAACACATCTCCCCACCCGGAGAATGCAAATCCCTCAGAACACTGAAACAAAACGGACCCCCGGTACCTGCACATTGTCACTCACAACGTGCGAGGACTGGCGACGAACTTCCTCAGTACACTGTGCAATATGCAGACTTGGGCTGCTGATATCATTGTCCTGACGGAAACCAAAACCGGCAACCGCACCGGATGGATGAAGGACGCCATACGCAAAGAACCGCAGGGATACAGGCTCTACTGCAGCTCGAAACCACGTAGCTCTGGCAAGGATCGCTACTCAGCAGGTGTAGCAATTGCCATTGGTGCTCGTTACACTCGTGCAGGACAAGTGACGCACATACCACCGCCGCCTCTGCTACAAGGGTACCTGTGCCACTGCAAGATCTCCACGTCAGCAAGTACCCCCTTACACGTGCTGGGAATCTACTGTCCGGAAAACACCCTAGTCCGAACCACCGTATACGCGCACTGCCGGACAGTTCTAAGACAGGCCAAGAGTAACGGGGAACACGTAGCCCTGGCCGGAGACTTTAATGCCGTTCTGAATCCTGATGACCGCAGTACAGGCCTGCTCGACACAGCAGACCGACTACACCTCAAATTCATCACCGATAACACGCTCACACCGGTCCCTGAAAACTGCTCCCCCCGCCACCCGTCCTTCAAGCAGTGGATCCAGGAATGCTGTACACACCAAAGCCGAATAGACGATATCCTGATGTGCCCCACCCTACACGCGAGTGTAAAAGCGGAGACACCCCCAAACGGGAACACGCCACAAGCGTACTGCAACGTTTCTGTCGCCGGTGGAAACTTCGACCATAATCCCGTTCACGCCCGCCTGCCCGCCGACGCCATCCGCCTGTGGGACGCCAAGAAACCGGCAGCCCCAAACAACCCAGACGGAGACGGGGCCCGGACTAAATGGAAAAACGTGATACTGCCGGTTCCGAATTCCACTATCCGCGCAGCGCAATCGAAGATGGGTGCCTCGCTCACGTCGGACATCCTCAGCCTCCAGGAATACCTCCGCCCCGCCGTCCAGGAGATTGAGGCTGGCCTCGCGAAACACATCGAGGACCCCACGGATATGACAGCCACCCGCTGATGACAC